TCTCAGAGCATATGATAAGTTTATCCCTGTGTTCTGAACAAATGCTCAGTCCATAAGCAAATGCCAAAATACATGAATTTTAAGAGCTCTCTTGTTTGGGGAGACAAGTGTCTTTGGAATTCTGGTGGATAAAAGCGATCAGGTTTACAATTTTCCAAATGCACTGGATAGCAGGCAAAGAAGTAGACAGAATGTTCATCATGACTGTCAATTTGGCAGTGGTCCTGGTTCTCAGGAGCTCTAGCTCAGGGTGAACAGATATTCAGAATCTTGCATGAGTGACACTTTCATGAGTGGCACATTGGAAAGGAAACAGCCAACAAAGGACACACCCATGCACGCCTGTGAGTGTGTGTGTGTGTGTGTGTGTGTTTACAGTTGAGAAAGAAAACAAGAGATAGAGAACAAAACTTTCAGAAAATGATATTTCACCACTAGGTTATAAGTCCATTACTAGGAAGCTTGGGCTTGCTCCCTGAGAGGCTGACCAGCTGGGATGAACCACTTCATTTCCACAAGCCCTTCCTTGTCTCCTCAGCTGCTAAACAAGTGATCTGGAATAGATGATTTGGTCTCAACCTCACTGCACACTAGAAGCATCGAGGGAGGTTTTAAGAATAATGCTGGGACACCTGGGTGGCTCAATGATTGAGCATCTGCCTTTCTCAGGTCATGATCCTGGGGTCCTGGGATTGAGTCTCGAATCAGGTTCCCTGCAAGGAGCCTGCTTCTCCCTCTGCCTATGTCTCAGCCTCTCTTTGTATCTCTCATGAATAAATAATTTTTTTTTTACTAAAAGAATAATGCTAACTCGGCCCTATCCCAAGCCAGTTGAGTATATGTCTGGGATGGGCCCCCAACCCCATCTCTGTTGTAAACAGAAAACCTCAGGTGATTTTGATGGACCTGGGCCTTGGGGATCCCTGCAATCTACTATATAACTGAGATCTCTGAGGGATCTGGACTCAATCCCTGACCTAGTCCCTGTTCTGTGTGGCTTAGGTCCAGTATCTTCATTACTCTGTGCTTATTGCCTGACCTGCACCGCAGACGATTAAGTCCATAGTCTCTTCCTGGTCCATAGCACAGTGGGGAGGAAGAATGGAATCTTGAGTGTCTGGACCACTACATGAAAATCATATTCTTGGTTTTGGGGATTATTTCCAAATACTTGCAATCATTGCAGAGAAGGACTAAAGGACACAGAAGTCCTTTGCTGTGAATGGTCTGATGGATTTCACATCTTCAGCTCTCAGTGAATCCTCTCAGTTCACCTTGACTCTTCATTTGGCCTATTGCAACATATTCAGGTACCAAGTGAATTGTTATCATTGCCTTTCTGATATTTCAGGCTTATTTTAAAAGGATTATAGGCTCACTGGAAGTGGTAGGAAGAGTCTTGTATGCCTTTTGCTTGTGGTGAATTCCTTTATAACCATAGTACAACGTCAAAGCCAGCAACGTGACATTGGCACTGTGTGTATATTTTAAAGATAAAATAGACCACAAGTTTATCTTACAAATTCAGGTTTATAAGATTTTTACTTAACCTGATTGATGTCACATCTGTGTATCTTTTCTCCTGAACTGAGTATCACAGTGATGCCGATATTCCGATGATCTGTTTGACAATGCACTAAATAGTTAGCAAGCTATAGAGCTATAGAGCTTCAGAGTAAGAAAATCAACAACCTTCAAAACGATTCCTGAGTAGAGTTTACGATTTTCTTTTGCTATTCTTTTGATCCTTAAGATATATCCTTCTAAAAATATAGAGTCAAAATAGAGCTACTGAAAATCCCTGGAGGGTGATACCGACCTTCAGGGTGTGGGTTCCAGCTCCATGGTGCTCTCAGGAAGTTCTTTGTGGCAGAGAGCTCCATAAGAAGAGTCTGGGGGAACTCACACCACCCTGATCGCCGCCAAACTGGGGCAGACACCTCAGTGGTTTGTACATCCCCACAGCCACACAGACTTGGCCCAACAGAAGCGAGATCCCAGGACTGCTGTGACTGGCAGAAGTGCTGCAAAGTGAGGGACAGGGCCTTCCCTGGGTGATCAGTGGCTGAGTCCCGTGGCTGTCCTGGGCACTTGGGAGAAAGGCCTGTGTTTGAGGAGTCAGATGAGCTGATGGGACAGAAAGTGGCCCAGACTTTGGCAAAGGAACTACAAGTGATCACCTACACTGGGGAGAAGCTGCATCACAGGGAAGCTGGTATCACTGGGAAGGTCACTTTTGAGCAAACCAAGTTTACTGTAGATAACATGAAGGGCTGAAGCAAGGTTGTCCCAGCCTATGAGGATGTGTGGGCCATGGATACTGGCAGGACCTCAACAGGAAGTACACAAGAAGCTCCAGGGAATGGCTTAAGTCTCATGTCACTGATGCAGTGGCTCAGAGTATCCCATTTATTAATGGAGGTTCTGTGACTGGAGCAACCTGCAAGGACTGGGCACGTCAGCTTGCTGCGGTGGCTTCCTTGTGCGTGGTACTTCCCTCAAGCCCAAAGTGGGAGCAAAATCAATGACTGTACCCTATCTGCTTCCCCTACCCTTCCTGTTCAGCCAGGGACACAGTAGCTCAGAGGCCCGAGCACTGTGCACCCCATCGCCCCCCATGGCTGCATAGGCTTCTGGATGGCGTCAGCAGCCCCCTTCATGGCCTAATCCAAACCATACCCCTCTTTATCCTTACACCTGACCCTGTGATGGTTGGGACATGCATCTCCTTTCTCTACTTACTGTCAAGGTTAGCAGTAACATGTTACCAAGGCAGCTTCTCCTGGGCTGAGAGGTGAAAGGGATGGGGTTTGCTCATGGATCCCCTCAGTCCTTAATGAGTGCAGGAGAGAAAAACCATCCTCTTCTCCCCTCTCACACCACGAGGTCCAGGGCTGAGAGCCAGGGGTGCCCCTTTCTCCCTTGGTGCTGATGCCCGTGCATGTTGTGTGTGTGTGTGTGCAAAGTCCCAGGGGTGGGGAAAATAAACATCTGGCACTTCAAACAGATCACTTGGAATATTTCCTCTCCATATGGTTTTAACCTCTAGCCCATTTATATTTTGTTTCATTTGCCTTATTTGGCTTACTTTTTAGATATGGCTTTTTTTTTTTTTACCTTTTTATCCTAACACTTTTGTTTTGACCATCATCAAACAGAGAAAAGTTGAGAGAATTTTACAACAAACACTAGTTTACTCACCACCCAGATCCTACAGTCACATTTTACTAGATGTGCTTCATATCATATCTATTCATCCATTGGGTTTCTACCCATTAGTTTTCCTTACTTTTTGTGGTTGTGTAAGAAATCAGTCAGTACAATTAGCTGATAAACTGGATGACTTCAGTCCATGCTGTTTACAAGAAGAAAACAATATTCCTGCTCTAGTGGTTTTTTGTAAGCTAAATATAATAAATCCATTCTTAGTTTAGTAGCAAGGAGGTTGAAAAGGGCGCTACTTACATGTTTTGTGTCCCTCCACACCGGTCAGTTCCAGCTCTTTGGGAGAAACCAACCTTACATTTCCATGGCCTGTTGAAGTAAATCCCTACGCAACACTTTTTTTTTTTTTTAAAGCAAGGGTCTTTTTTTTTTAAATTTTTATCTATTTATGATAGTCAGAGAGAGAGAGAGAGAGAGAGAGAGAGAGAGGCAGGCAGAGACACAGGCAAAGGGTGAAGCAGGCTCCACGCACCGGGAGCCCGACGTGGGATTCAATCCCGGGGCTCCAGGATCGCGCCCTGGGCCAAAGGCAGGCACCAAACCGCTGAGCCACCCAGGGATCCCGGGAGAAAATATTTTAGATAGAAAAGGGAGATTAAATCACCCACCACAGAGCAAACACTTAAAAACTGCATTAATATTTTTGTCACTTTTAGCTTGCACCTCCTAAATAGGCTTTTCCCATATTTGTCTTTCCCCAATACATTTTAATTTTTCTTAGATATGAGTACATGTCCAGCAACATGTCTGGAACACAGGGATCCTTTGTGATTGCCAGTGGCTGAACTAACGTACTCAGAAAAGTTCGAGTTTCTATGAGGTTATATAGACTTGGCTCACTGACCAGCAGGTCTTGGCTGTGGGAAGGCCTTGGGAAATGAGCCTTGGGGCAGGACACAGTAGTGACCCCATGAAGTCCCTTCTTTTTCCTTTCTTATCTTTGCTTATTTGCTTTGCTTTCAGATCTGGTGGGTCCCTGCCCCTGGCCCCATGAAAAAAGAAATCCTTTCTTTCTTTCTTTTTTTTTTTTTTTTGTCTTCTGTTTACTATGCTTTTTAAATTCTGAGTGGGTAGCAAATGTCAGGTATTTTCTCAATACAGAATATATGTATGCACAAATATGCAGAAATAACCTGGTATGAGCTCCAGGATCAGTGTGTGTGTAGAGGAATGCCCGATGCATGTCTATAGGAGCAATCTGAACTCTTGGTTCAGGATCACTGTCATGTCAAGAAATTCATGTCCTGAACGTGAGAACCAAGCAGCAGGAGTGTCTTTGGACCAATGTGTATCCATCCTATGGGTGTAGTTCTGAAGCCATAGGGGTATGTGCACATAGCTCTGCTGGCATGTGACTGGAGTGTGGGCCTAGGAGGGGCTGAAATCATCCCTGTTTAAGACTCCTTTATTTAGAAGACCAGTTAGAGTGAGGATGGAAGCTGCTCATTCCAAATGCAAAACTGTAGGGAAAAGGACTCATATTGGTCCAGCAGATAGTAGGTGCCCAAAATAGCAGTAATCAGCCTTGGCCAATGAGTACAGGGATGTGTTCTAGAAGAATGGATGCTCCTTTCATAGACACATGGATAGAAAGGGAAAGAAGGTGGGGGGGGGTCGGCAAGGAAAGTAAGAGGGGGTTCAGCAGGCAGCTGAATATGTGTTTTATCAACTGTTTTGTATTTCAACATGTTATGTGTTTCTGAAAGTGGCAATCAGCAAAGATGTTAATCATATTTAGTTATGAACACATTGAACAGATAAAAGTGACCTATATTTCAAATCACCCTGTTGAAGTCAGCAACCAGGCTAATAGCCTTCTCATAACACTCCAGGGCTTTGCTCCTTCCCTTTTCAACTTGTGGATGAACCCAGGGATGCTGAAACTTTCCACCATATGTACGTTCTGATGAACACATCTTTTAGCCAACTTCTCTAAGGTAGTAAGAATCTTCTCCCTGGTGCGGGAGGTTGTTTTGATTTTGAGACCTTTTAAGTAATGGGTGACTGCTTTATCTGCAGATTCCTTGTCCTGTTCTTGGAAAATGGCCATAATGGTAATGAATCTGTTGCTGTAGATGATCGTCAATGTTCTTCATGTACAGCACTTTCTGAAAAGTGTCCTCAGCCTTTGTGTATTGCCCCATTTCTGCATACATGCCGGCCAGTTCAATATAAGCAAACTTAAATGTGGGCCTTAACATCAAAGCCTTTTCAATTTCATATATAGCCAAGTGAACCAGTCTGTGGACATTTTCTCTATCCTGACCTCTGCGCTGCCAGTTTGCAGCTCTCTTTATTTTGATCATGAATGCCTTGTAGCAAAGCCCTATCTGGTGATGCAGGAAGGCAGAGGAGGGTGTTGCCTGCTGGGCCATTTTTAGGAGCTGAAGAGCTTTATCCAGACAGCCTTTCCTACGGTAAAACTTGCCGGCGTATCGAAAGACATAGGTCTGGGAGGATGTGTTGTTCAGTGCTTCTTCAATGTACTTTTCTCCGTCAGCTTCTTGTCCCAGGTCCTGAAGTTTCAGGGCAAGGAGAGCCTTAATATACACATCTTTTGGATTTAGCCTGATGGCCTCTTTTAGGGGCTGCAGGCAGAATGCCTCACTAGCCTCTGTAGTCATGTTAAAGCTGTCTAGGCGGTACATGGTGATTGCATACCCGGTGCTGAATTCAGGGTTTTCAGGGTCCTCTGCCAGAGCCTTCTCAAAGCAGGCCTTGGCCCGATCATAGTTCTTCCTTCCACATTTCAGCAAGGCCCAGCCCTCCTCGCCGTCCATCTGGGGACACTCCATCCTATAGCAGGAGGAAGCTGCAAACTTCATGCAAGTGTTTTCCACCTTGTCCAGGTAAGCCTGGGCCTCTGCCAGTCTGCCCATGTGGTAATACAGCCAGGCATAGTTGCCCCATGTGACCAGACTTCTCACATCTGATTGGATGTCATGTTCCTGCTGGATTAGGTCCTCGGCTTTCTTCAGGCTTTCCAGGGCTTCCTGGTTTTCAGATATTTCACATAGGCCAGTAGTTTGTTTAGAAAATAGGAAAAAGATCTTGTTTTCTAAATCAGGCATTTCAGTGTCTTCAAATAGCAACTCCCTTTTTTTTTAAATTTTTTTTTATTTATTTATGATAGTCACAGAGAGAGAGAGAGGCAGAGACACAGGCAGAGGGAGAAGCAGGCTCCATGCACCAGGAGCCCGACGCGGGACCCGATCCCGGGTCTCCAGGATCGCGCCCTGGGCCAAAGGCAGGCGCCAAACCGCTGCGCCACCCAGGGATCCCCAAATAGCAACTCCCAATGCAAAGTGACATCTCAGTTGAACCAGGCTCTCTTCAATAACATGCCTGTTTTATTTGTTACTGAAAAAATAGACAATTATTTGTATTTTTCAGAATATTCAGTCTGATGGAAATGAAGCTAGCACTTTGAATTGTCAAATACTATCCCCAGAGTTCTTTCCTTCCTATTGGAAGGAATCTGTTGCTCCTCTGGCTTCTGTCGTCAATGTCATTTAGGACAGATTGACATAAAAACTTTAAGGAAATGCTAATCACTTTATGGTGCCAACAAGTAGGTTATGTGTTGTCTAAAATACAACTTGAAAGAGATTAATTATGCTAATGTAAAAATAATTTTAGCCCTTCCCTCAACACTGCAAAACCCCTGTCTCCTCCTACCTCCCTCTCAACATTGTGGTCCCCCTAATGCTGTCAGAAGAAAAGTGGAGAGAGTTTCACCTTGTGTTTGGCCATTTTTTGGACCCAGCTGGACAGCATTCATATTTTCGTCTGTGTTCAGATCTGTTTTTGGAGTGACCTTGTTTTTGTCTTGATCTGTCATGGTGTCAGGGTGGCTTCATCTGCTGTTGATGTAATGTGCTACAGAAAAACACAGGTTCTTGCTGTGGGTCACTGTCCAGCAACACCAGAGCCTAGCTGATAGTGTCATGCTGGCTCCCAGATGTCTGGGGCTCTTCTTTCTCTTCAGGGAACTTCTACATTTTGCTTCAGCACCTAGAGAAGTGTCCTGACATTTCTAAAGTTGAAGGTTATATAACAGGAAGGATTATCCAAAAAAGAAATATAAAACATGAAATGTATCTATTTTATGCATTCAAATATAAATTTTTTTTAAGGAAAAGTGTGTGCTTGAGAAGGAACGTCATACAAGATCCCTCTCTGGATGAGTTAAAGTCATCTTTGTATCTCTCATCCAAGGAGGGACTTAGGCAATTTGTGGTAGACCACATTTGTCCATTCCTAATTCCTGGAACAATGTACTGGCCCTCTTAACATCTTATAAGCACAGGATATGGTTTGGATCCATGTGTTCTTCCTAACTCATCATGTCTCAAGACTGCCCAAATATAGAGAATCCCAATTCCACTCCTTAGTATGCTTTGATGATAGAAGTAGGCAGTAAAATTCCCTAAGCAAAATGAGAGTATGGAGAAGGAGAGTGGAACTACCCAGGGAGCAGAAGGAAGGAAACTAGGGCTAAGCTGGCCCACTGTGGAAGCATAAGTTCACTTAAAGGGAAGAGTGGCTATCAGCCAAACATTGTTTTATGTGGAGTGAAAAAGCCATTAGAGTTATTAGGAAGCACATCTGAGACTTGTCATTTGACAGAATCAACTGATGGCAGGAACTTTCCCAGACGCATACCATCTCAGATAGTTTAGGGCTGTGTGCTCCGAGTGCAGGAGGTTAAAGCTCCATCATGTAAACAGGTACTGGCATGAAGGTTAGAAAGGCTGTTTGTACTGACAGTTGTATGGCTTTGGAATTTTTGCGCATAAAATTATTTTGCGTAAACATTATTTTTTTATTGGTATGGTTAACATGCAATATTGTATTAGTTTCAGGTATAATACATAGTCATTTGACATTTATATACATTATGAAATAATCACCCGATAAATCTAGTTACCACTTGTAGCATAAAAAGTTGTTAAAATATCATTGACTATATTTCCTATGCAGTACTTCATATTCTTTGACTTATTTATTGTATAACTGGAAGTCAGTGCCCCTTAGTCCCCTTCACCTCTTTGATATCTATTGACAACATGTCAGTCAGACAGAGGAAGTGTTTATGTATCCCATGATTGCTATGAGTCTGGCAGTGGTCCTGGTTCTGTGGGGCTCCAGCTCAGCTCATCAGGTTTGTGGAATCTTGCCAAGTGGCTCCTTGGGATAAACAGGCCCCCAAACTTCACAGGACAGAACGGCATCAAGGAGAAAGGAAACAGCCAATAAAGTATGTGAGTGTGTTTATGTGCGCATGTGTGCAAATCGAAAAGAGCAATGGAAACAAGAGAGGGCAACTCCTTTCTAATGGACCGGGCTCCTGCCTGAAGATATGAAACTCAAGCATGGAACTATGAGTCCAATGTCAGAATTCCAGGACTGGTTCTGGGTTTGACTGACAAGCTGGGTGAGTTGAGTTTCATTTAAACTCTGCAAGTTCCTTCAGCAGCTAAATAAAAGGGTTAGCCTTGGACAGTGTTTTGCAACCCTGAGTGCAAAACAGAAAGTTCCCTGGGAATCTTTGCAAAATAAAAACAAGTACTGACACCTGAGTTAATCTCTAGTCCTGAATTAGAATCTCTGACAGTGAGCCCCAGGCATCAGAATTATCACTGATTGATTGACTAAGGGAGGGAGGAAGGAAGGAGCTCCAATGTAATTGTGTTTTCAATAATTGTGGCTAAAAAGCACTGAGCCTGACTTTGACTTCTCAGTGTGGTCTGTGGACCAGCAGCATCAGCATCAACTAAAGCTTAGGAAGTGCAGAATCCCAGACCCCTCCACAGACCTACTGAATTAGAGTCCTCCTAGTGTTCAGGTGATTTATTGGTACGTTAAAGTTTGAGAAGTACTTTCTTAGATAATCCCTAGGTCCTTTTCAGGCCCAAGTGCTATGGAAGAGTGGGCAGGAACTCATTGCCAGTACCTACTTATCTTTCTTTGAGGTTCTGAGTCAGTAACTTCATTTGTGCATGCTTTGGTGTCTCTGTGTGCACCTTAATAATTCACACAATATGATAAAATATGAAAATGCTGGTCAAAGTGCTTTGGCCTCTATATAACCATGACCTCTAATATTTGCCTTGGAGATTACTCATGTTTGCAAATACATGACATCATATCCATGAGAGAAAATACTCATCCAGCATGAACTACTCTTTTCTGAAAGCTTCAGTGATTGTTGTACCATGTTAGAGGTCATAATGGCTGTCTTTGACCTACCGTAACTTTGATTTCAGGCTGATTCCCTTGTATTGTAGTTATAATTGAATTTTTTTGTGTTTTTATTTTTACTTGTCAAGCATTCATTCACTTGGCATTGTCAATATAAATTTTAAGGAACATTTACAAAATTGAGCTAGGCTTAAAACATTGCATAGCAGGGATCCCTGGGTGGCGCAGCGGTTTGGTGCCTGCCTTTGGCCCAGGGCGTAATCCTGGAGACCCGGGATCAAATCCCACGTCGGGCTCCTGGTGCATGGAGCCTGCTTCTCCCTCTGCCTGTGTCTCTGCCCCTCTCTCTTTATGACTATCATAAATTTAAAAAAAAAATTTAAAAAGGACATTGCATAGCATGCTCTTACAATGTCTACAGCATAAGTTATCAGGATCCTAGGAGGTTCATAGTTTTAGACTTGTCTGAAATATCTTGAGACTTTCGGAGAGTCTGTTTCTACTTAGAGAAATGAGAAGAGGTAAAGCTATTTTCTAGTTGTAGCTGGAATTTAAGATTCTAAACTGGGCTGCAAAGCATTAGTTCCACTACACATGCCATTTCCAGGTTCTGAGAAGCCCATAAATGCTTAGGATCCAGTAGTTCAAACATGTTGTTGGGATGTCCAAGACAGCCTTCATTGCCATGAGCTCCTTATTCACTTCAAAAGTCTGCAAACCATGAGTGACCATTAGTTATGATGTTTGGGACATGGATATGACATGTTTCCTCTTCTCAGGTGACTTGCCATCTAGTTGAGGAGACAGATTCATAAGTATTTAATTTTAACAAGAGCAGGTGACATTGGTTACTTTGTAATCACAGAGGAAACGTTCTTTCTTTCTTCCCAAAAAACCTTCTTGGGTTAACTCTTAATCTTTCAACTGAAATGTTTTGGCAGAATCATTATCCTTCTGGCTCCCCACTCAGAGAATACCTCCAAGAATGTGTGCTGTGACCACACCTGGCTCTGGAAGGGAGATTTTTGAGGCTATTCAAAGGTACAGTGATGTTGGTTGCACACACTAAGTCTTCCAGAAGGCTTTAGCCTGGAACTACCAAACCGGCACTTGTATCTCAAGTCACAGTAAACCTACAGAAGCAGATAAGGATATGGGGCTATGAAAGCTGGCCATGGTGCCAGCTGACACCAGATTGGTACTCTAGAAATAGAACATTTTATATGACAGTTGCCCCAATATGTGAATAACATCCTTACGGTCCAGCCAGGCTTGCGTTTGTTTCAGGTGTTTTGGCATTGGTACCCCTGAAGGGCATCACTTGTTTGATGGTCTGTAGATAATACCTAGCCCCTTACTTTTCTTAGGACAGTCAAAATACCACCTGGGGATTGGGCTCAAAGAAGTGCAGACCTGTGTTATATCATTTCCTCTCAGTGAGTTGGCTAATTGGGTACACCTGTTGGTGCCAAAATTGAAAGCAATCAAGGTGTTCTTCAGCAGGTGAGGGGATAAATGAACTGTGGTACATCCACACAATGGAATACTCTTCAGCAGTTAAAATAAACATGCTATCGAGCTACGAGAAGACATGAAGGAACATTAAATGCACATTGCTATGTGAAAGAAGCATCCTAAAAAGTCTATATCCTGTATGAATCCAACTTCATGACATTCTAAAAGGCCAAACTATAGGATTAGTAAAAAGATCAGTGCTTGTCAGGGCTTTAGGGGAAGTGGTATAGTTGGAGCATAGGGCATTTTTAGGGCAATGAAACTGTTTGTATGATAAATTAATGGTACTTTATACCACCATACCTGGTGTTGTGCCCAATACAAAGAGCCCTCATGTAAACTATGAACTTTAGTTAGGAGTAATATTTCAATATTGGTTCATCAGTTGGAGCTATACACACAAATGCAAGATGTTAATAATAGGGGAATCTGTAGGGGGAGTACTTCCCATGCCTTTTTCTGTATGTCTAAAAGTGCTCTAAAAATGGAATTTATTAAGTGAGAAAAAAAAAGACTTGCAATAAGGGAAAGTGATTATGGTAATAAGGAGACAGTTCTGGTCTTAAGATCTGCAAAAGTCTGAAAGATTAGTCAGAAGAGGGCTTTTTATTTAGAGGTATAAACAAGCTTGGAAATTAGGTGTAAGGGAGGAGAAGAGAGGGTGGTGAGATAGGGAAATCATTCCTTGTCAGCCAAGCTTTGAAAGGGATTGTTTGGCCTTTCCAATACTTGTTTAACCCTAGGGAGGAGTCTTGTAGGGAAGGAGAGAGTTTTGGCCAAGTCAAATTTATAGACATTTTGTTCTGATTGATCATGGAGACAAATAATTCAGCTAACCATTAATGAGACACAGAATGGGAATTTGGAGGGTCTGTGTCTGGCCTGTCAGAAGGAAATGGGGGACCCATGGTGAGTTTTATCTAAGTCATACAGGAAAGGATACTTCTTTATGGTTTAACAAAAAACCACAAGACAAGTTGAACTGGACAAATTTCTTCCTCACAGGTCCTATAGTCCCATGATGGAGGGGTCAAAGCAGACTGAAGGCAGAGAGAGAGAGAGAGAGAGAGAGAGGCATAGCCAGAGGCCTTTATCATGGGCTGTGAGTGAAATGCTTTGGGGTTCTGGGCCTTGGGCTGGATTGGTCTCTTCAAATCAGAAAGAGTGGGGTTTTTGTAAGCTCCCCAGGGGACTTACCTAAGGGGAGGTGGGCAGAAGAAGAAAGCCCTGGGAGGCAGGGGAGAGGGTTGCTCAGGCGGGCTGCTGGGGAAATCCAGGAGCCTATATGTGCTTGTAATTCTGCAGGCTGTTAATCGAGGTTGTGTGCTTGCACATGAAGGCTACTTAGTTCAAGACTCCCCCTCCCCCCACCAACCCACCCCCGCCTCAGGCTGATATAGCCAAACAAAACGGATACTGAGAATGCAGTCCCACAGATTAGCTTGGCTTAACTCTTCCCCACTCTCAGACACCAAACGTTGTGGGGTGGGCAGATTTTTTGACTGTAGCTTCTGTCTGGTAGCACGGGGCTCAGGTAAAGTTCAACATTGTCAATATCGTTCCAGATTGTGGTGCTGCCCCTACAGCATCCCACTTCAATTACCTCTGGCCTCTCCGGGCTCCACATGTCCATGGAGACAGGAGACTCCACACTGGACAATGAAGCCTTAGGAAAATTCATTGAGGGGCGCGTGAGTGGTTCAGTCAGTTAAGTGTCTGATTTCTGCTCAGATCATGATCTCAGGCTCCACACTCAGTGGAGTCTGCTTCTCCTTCTGCTCATCCTCACCCCATCCCAGCTTGTGCTCAAATAATTAAATACAATTTTAAAAAAAAGAGAGAGAAAGGAAAATTCATTGACATCATGATGTCAGCAAATTCATTCTGCCAGGTTTGAATACCAACTGAAGGGGATTAGGTCTGCCAATGACTCACTCACTAACACTGCATGATGGTCTGTAAGCCTCAATCATCTGGCACCTCTGGAAGCCACGTTTTCCCTGTGAACCCTAGCATGTATGTTTGTAACTAAAACTACTTTTTCTCTTATTAACCTGGCTCTGATCAGTTTGACTCATGGGCCCAGCTACTAAGTGCAGAAGGATAGAGAGAGAAAGATTTTTCCTCCCCTGTAATATGTAAGTTCTAAGTTTATCCACCCCTTTGAGTTTACCACGGCTAAAATGTTTGTGTAAACAGTGGGATGTGGTTAATGTTGACACCTACTTTCCTTCTAGCATCTGGAATTTTGATATGTACTAAGCAGAGGGTGCCTGTGTGACGAGTCCCTTGAGCATAAAGCCCTTGAGTGTTGAAGCTCCAACTAGTGTTTGAGGTATGGTTGCATTCCATGCTGGAGGAATTAAGTATAACCTGTGAGATTCTACTGGGGCAGATCTCAGGGCAATTTGTGCCTGGGTTTCTTTGGCCTTCACTCCATGTACTCTTTGTGCTGCTTTTGCTTTTGTTGTAATAAATCTAATGCACAGGTAGGATATGTTTATTCCTGTGAGTCCTTCTTGAATCACCAGACCCAGGGGGTGTCTTAGGGATCCTTGATGCCAACTTCCTAGAATTCTCACTGGAGAACAGGATATAGCAGATTATTAGGGAATGGTAACTCCATCCAGTGGAACAAAGGAAAGAAAAGACAGGCCAAGACTTGCTGAGTGTGGATCTCTCCACCCTTCTCAATTTCCTATGAGAATGACTAAAAAATGTACTGCAGAGGAAAATCTGAAAAGTTCAACGATACTATCCCCCATGCATTTCAGAGATCCTTGCTGTCCAGGCCCGACTTTTACAAAATGGAGCTTACTGTGTCAAATGCTGATGGTTCCAGAGGGGTTGTTGCAGCCCTGTGTGGACATAATTCTAAATATCTTTGCAGGTAGCTTGAGGAGTGTTACCACTATCAAGGTCCTGTGAATTAGCTGTGTCAGGCTGAATTTAAAAACCTGACACTAGATTGCAAAACACAATGGGAAGGAGGAGTAACATGGAAAGCCAAAAGATTCAGATGCAATGAAACGCCTGGACACCTGCACCCCGATGTTTCTAGCAGCCATGTCCACAATAGCCAAACTGTGGAAGGAGCCTTGGTGCCCATCGAAAGACGAACGGATAAAGATGTGGTTTATGTATACAATGGAATATTCCTCAGCCATTAGAAACGACAAATACCCACCATTTGCTTCGATGTGGATGGAACTGGAGGGTATTATGCTGAGTGAAGTAAGTCAATCGGAGAAAGACAAACACTGTATGTTCTCATTCATTTGGGGAATATGAATAATAGTGAAAGGGAATATAAGGGAAGGGAGAAGAAATGTGTGGGAAATATCAGAAAGGGAGACAGAACATAAAGACTCCTAACTCTGGGAAACGAACTAGGGGTGGTGGAGGGGGAGGAGGGCGGGGGGTGGGGGTGAATGGGTGACGGGCACTGAGGGGGACACTTGATGGGATGAGCACTGGGTGTTATTCTGTATGTTGGTAAATTGAACACCAATAAAAATTAATTAAAAAAAAAAAAGAAAGCCAGAATGCTCAGAAATCAAACAGAGTAGTCAATGTGAAGGAGGGCACTTTGTATTAAATGGAGAAAATGACAGTAAAAGATTCTAGTAGAAATCCACAAGTCAGGAGTCTGAGCTGCCCTTACAGTAGAGCCTGAAACCTCTGGCTTATGCCAACAGAATCAGGACATAGCACATCAGAATGTACACAAATCCATGGGAGCAGGGTGGCTTGGTTTCATAGTTATGGAGTTGAGTGCCAGTTATACCTCTTCCTAGCTGTGTGGCCTTGGACAAGTTACCAAACTTTTCTTTTTCTTTTCTTTCTTTTTTTTTTTTTTCTGTTACCAAACTTTTCTGAGCCTCATACCTTCCACACTGGTTTTTGGATGCTAAAAATGGACTCAGCACAGATCCTGGAACATAGTTCAGAGACCAGTATGTAAACCTGCTATTGTTTTATTGTTATGGCTTCATAGCTTGGGACATTTGCTGTTTTATCTTCCCAGTACCCTCTTCCAGGATTCAAATAAGTTGTTTTGGAAGATGTAATCCCTGAGCTGGTGATGATGGCAGTGTCATAGTTCTCAATGGAGACAAAGTGTTCCTATATTCCTCAAAATTTTCTGAGAGCCTAGTTCATTTCAGGCATACAGTTGTGAGTCAAGGAATCAGGGTTCCTGATACCCTGAAGCTGATAAGCTTGAGGGGAGGAGCCCATGATTTCCCTTGTGGAGACTGACACCCACACACACAGTCCTCCAATACTCTTTTTTGTGGACAGCCCTGGAATCTGCTGGGACATGCTGTGTGGCCATCAGTCAAGCCTGCCCACAGCCTAGGTGGTAAAATGGCATAGGTAGAAGTTCTCAGTACCCACCAGTTTACTAGTTGGGTAAATTTGGGTATGGCCCTACGTAGTAAGAAGGAGTAGATGTCTGTGAAAACTAGCAATTTATGTTATTCCCCCTGGGTCTCCAGAGGCAGAGTTGTGTGAGGTCAGGGTTACATACAAGGAAGTGCAGAATGGGTATTCCCTTCAGACAATGGTAGATTGTAGATGCAGAGGCATCTTTTCAATAAAATCATCTAGGCAGCAAAATAAATCATGGCATAGATATGTAGGTCAGGAGCCTCAATACCGTATGGGACTCTGAGCATGGGGGGGGGGCAGCCTGGGTGGTATCCATGATCCTCTTAGGAGTCAGCTGTGTGTCATTTCTGGGGATGGGATGAGGTATCCCTGATGGGGAAACCTCCAATCTCCCTGATTACCACTACTATTCAGAATTTTTGTGTCCTTGAGCATGTGTGCTTGCACATAGATAGGCAGATCCTCAGCTAACCCCAAGCTGTAGCTATGGACAGTCTCCACCTTGCCCCCAACTACCCTTCCATGCTCTTCCATGCTTTCAGTGTTGGTTTTCATTGTAATATTCCTTGTTTGGGACCAGCAACTCCTCAGGAACCAGATATAAGAGATAGTGCTGCTCTAGGCTAAGGCTGGCCAGGAGTTAACAACTGACTGCTGGGCACTTGGCTGCTCTCTCAGCCTTATTGGAGCCAGCAGATAATTCAGGGATGGGGGGCACCCTCATCAAAGTCAGCTGCTTTTTTAGCCAATGTAACTTAGAAAGCACCTTCCCAGAATTCCCCTTCTATGTGAGTAAAGAGTCCAGTTTCTGAACTCTCCACTTACAAAGGAGATGGGAATGCCGGTCCCTCTGTCTTGTCTGGGAATTGGCACATAACAATCTTCCTCTGCACATAGACAATTGATGATACCAATGGAAAAGCATATGAACACAGGCATTGCATTGTTGTGGGTTGAGGAGAGGTCGATAGGGCTCTCAGTACACCTCTTAGCTGCATGATGGACAGCACTAAGGGTTTCTCCAGCTGGGAGGATACTTGAATATTTTCATTTGCTTTGGAAGGTGAAGATCCTTGTCTCTAGAGCTAGCCTTGTACTGGTGCCCCTTACACATTGTTAGGGAGGCCACTGCCCAGGTATTTCTGGTTGCATAGCAACCCTGCTCAGTAGCAGTAGCTGCCGACTGGGCCATGGGCTCAGCCAGGGGCTCTAGTCTAGGCCCCTGGACTAGAAAAAGAGTCACAGCTCCCATGGCTAAAGGCAGGCCAGCTCCTCCTTGGTGCTAACATGGGGCATGTTGAGAATAGTATGGTATGGCTGTAGCAATGACCCACTGTCCCTAGACAGTGTCCCAAGGAGAAATTTTAGGAATTCATATCACTCACAGTCACAATGCAAACCACACAATTGCTTTCTATCCTGAGTCAAGATTTTAAAATTTATTGTAGCATCACTGTCAAGAATACATATTTATCAGAGTATCACAATCAATTTATATAAACACAAGGCTGGGGCCAAGAGTAAGACATAAAGAATATTCTAGGGTTAGTCAAAAGGTGGTCTTTCAGGGGTCCCACCCTGAAAGGCTAGATAGCAATGGGACAGAGGCCAGGAGAGCTGTTGGCAGGCGGCAGCCAGCTGTTTGCCTTGGTAAACAGGGCAGAGATGGGGGATATCTGATGACCTGAGTGCAAACTAAGACTTAATCAGCATCACACAGCCCTGAAGCCGTTTCCACTGGTAATTGTGTATGTAGTAAGGCCTGCAGACTAGAAGGGTGTGCATGGCTGAGACTGACGGGGGAGACAGATATGAGGAAGCAACTCTACAAATGTCCCCTAAAGCCATCTCGGAGTGTCCTGGGTCCCTGGACAGTGCTCCTGTTCCTCTTCTGCATTTCAGCTCAGGGCTCAGGAGCTCTGAGAATGAGATTGCACGGGCCCTCGCCCACTGCCTCACCACCTTCTTCAAGCTCAGAAGACAGCAGGAAAAAGCTGCCTATGCCTGTGGGGCTGTTCCTTAAGAGATAGCCCAGCTCCTTCTCATAACACTCAGCTGCTTGCAGTAGCTCTCCATTCAGCTTGTGTTTTAATCCTTGGAGATACCAAGAATTCGGTGCATTTTGTGGAAGCTGATTTCCAGCCATGTTCTGCGGTGAGTACTTTGTCTTTCCTTCCTCTGTTGATTTTGCTCTTGTGGGGAAATCCTCCAAATCATGTTGGGTAGCCATGTCTTCAGACTTCCCCTTCCCCTGATGCCCCTGAAAATTGGGATAGTGCTGGTGGGGTTGTTGCCTCTCAGTGCTGGGGAGCTCCTTACTGCAAGCTACCTGATAATATCGTTCTGTTTCCAGGAGATCAGTGGTATCAGCATATGCATACAGAGGATCTACTCCTTTCTCAATCGCTTTAATCACAAAGTCAATAGCACACTTCTTTAGATCTTCAATCTTTTCTCTGTTCCTACTAGCTTCACATCTTCCTGTATTCTGAATTTGTTTGACTTTTGCCCTATAGCAGCATGCAATCTGGTGATAGAGGTAACCATTGTTTGGAAGGGATTCCGATGCCCTTAGAAACAATTCAATAGCTTTGTCTAGGTCACCTTTTTTTTGATAAAATGTGGCTGCATTACGAAGGACATCTGTTTGGCAAGGAGCATTCTTCAAGGCCTCCAGAACCAACTGCTCCCCGTCAGCTTCTTCATTCATCCTCTGTAATTTCAGGGCCAAGAGAACTTTGATGTACTGATTGTCATGATTTAGCTCAAGGGCCTGCTTCAGAATGTTGATGGAGACTGGCTTCTGTGGTTTATTATCCAGACAGTACATTGCTATGGCCAGTCCGGAAGCGAATTCTGGGTTGTTGGGCTTCTCTTCCAGAGCCTTCTCAAAACACACTTTGGCCCTTTCATTGTGCGTTGCTCCACATTTTAGCCGTGTCCACCCTTCTTCACAGTCGAGCTCAGAACACTCAATACTATATGGATTTGAAAACTTCTCACATACTTGTCTCACTTTGTCCACATAAATCTGAGCATCTGCAAATCTGCCCAGGTGATAGTAGACCCAGGCATAGTTACCCCAGGTGACCAGATTCCTAATTTCTGCTTGATCAGAGTGCTTCTGTTGGATGAGCTCCTCAGCCTGCCTTAGGCACTGCAGGGCTGCCTCGTTGTGACCACTTAAGTGTTTTATGTAGGCCAAAAAGTTGTACATTGTAGCTTTGAACTCATTGTTTAAGAATTCAATCTGGTGACACACTGTATCTTCTAGATCACGTGAGACACCATCTTTTTTAAGTAGGTTCCATGTGAAATGGCATTTCAGCTGTGGAAGGATTTTCTCCAGAGAATTCTTGTTGACCTCACTGTGGAGAAAATAAACATGGTCACTGTGATGTGCTCCTGCCAGGCACCTCACCCCGGGATGCAATTACAGGTTGATTTTGTGGGTCAGCTTGCCCAGGCTGTGGGATGCCCAGATGTCTAGTTAAACAAGAGTTCTGGGTGCCTGTGACCATGTCCCCAAGAGAGATTAGCAGCTGACTCAGGAGAATGAGTGGAAGCAGACTGCCCTCCAGGAGTGGATGGGCACCACCCAGTCTGCTGAGGGCCTGAGTAGAACACAAAGGGAGGAAGTGTGAATTCTGTCTATCTGGCTGTGTGAGCTGGACATTGGTCTTCTCTCCTTAGACTGGAGCTTTTACTGTTGGCATTGCTGGTTCTCAGGCCTTCAGACTTGGACTAGAGCTTATGGCATTATACCTCTAGTTCTACCTTTGGACTCTGACTAGAATTACATTACGGGCTCTCCTGGGTCTAAAGCTTGTGGACAGTGGACCATGGTTATGATCCTCAGCCTCCATAATCATGTGTCAACTCCCGATAACAAATCTCTCTTTTTCATTTTTTGTGTGTACACACACACACACACACACACACACACACATTTTAAACCAGCAGTAGGGAGAATCTTTAATCTTTATTTTACTGGAAAGTAGAGAAAAATGTAGGCAAAATTAAGTAGGTGTAGAAATTGTTGTAGAAAGAATAAAAAGAGGGTTAAAATTCTCTGTGAGGAACACCAAAAAATATGTCCAATTATATAAAGACTCTTATATAAAGAAATGGGAATAAAGCTAAAGATCCAGTTTGGTTTTGCTATTGACAAATATACAAAGTCACAGAAAAAGCAGTTGAGGTAGAACATTGTAAGGTCACTATGGGTACCTGCCTACTTTTGATCTGAGCAAAGTTGATGGCTCTAGTGCAAGGTGGAACTGATGACAGGACAGCCAAGAGTTCTCCATCCCAGAGTCCATCCTGTCTTAACCTTCAGGTAGAAGCTGAAGAAAAGGCCTTAGTGAAGCCTGAACTCTGGAGTAGGCTGACTGATTTCCTCTATTATGGTGTCAGAAGAGTCTACTTCTTGGCCAGTAAACACATGGAAGAGTCTGGAACAACTGCCTTTAACAAATGCCTGTTCTCTCTCCCCAGTCTTGGTGGATGGGGCCTGCCATCACATAGCAGCTTAAATGTACATAGATATATCTCCTACTAGTTCTGTTTTTCAGGAGAGTGCTGACTAATACACCCCCAAAGTTTTTTTTATTTTTTATTTTATTTTATTTTTTTTATTTATGATAGTCACAGAGAGAGAGAGAGAGAGAGAGAGAGGCAGAGACACAGGCAGAGGGAGAAGCAGGCTCCATGCACCGGGAGCCTGATGTGGGATTCGATCCCGGGTCTCCAGGATCGCACCCTGGGCCAAAGGAAGGCGCCAAACCGCTGCACCACCCAGGGATCCCCCAAAGTTTTTCTAGACAGTAGAGGAGGTACTCTTCCTCTTGCTTCCTGGCTTCACCTCCAATTGCTGTGGTCTCTACAAGAATCCATGGAGCACGTCCCTTCCACTGTGCGGGCAGACATGCAGGGCAAGGTGGGGTGGATGGAGGAGAGCACAGCAGGGAGAGGAACTGGGATCTCTTGTCCCACTCCATTAGAAATCACTGCTCAGCCTTCACATTCTGGGCTAGGTTGATGCAGCTATCCAGCGACCCTCTATAGGGCCACTCCTTTGTGTCACTTGGTTAGTTTTGAAGGATGCTAAGAAAAATAAAAGTTAGTTATCCTGATCCTTTGGCCTAGGAGCTCCCAGACTGGTTAGAAGGAGCCATGGAGGGGCCCCTGGGTGGTTTACTTGGTTAAGCATCTGCCTTCAGATTAGGTCATAATCTTGGGGTCCTGGAATGCAACCCCATGTCAGGCTCCCTGCTCAGTGGGGAGTCTTCTTCTCCCTCTTCCGCTGCCTGCAGCTCCCCCTGCTTGTACTCACTCTCTCTCCTTCTCTGTCAAATAAATAAATAAATAAATAAATAAATAAATAAATAAATAACATATTTTTTTAGTTTTTATTTATTTTTATTTTTAATAAGAGCCATGTAGAGAAACAAAATGACAGGGGTGTTTGCCGCCATACTGTGAGACTGAGCCTTCCCCTTCAGCATCTCCACCATCTCCCTACAGTCACACACACAGACCCCTGGAGGTTCAGTTTCAGCCTGATTTACGCAGTCTCCTTGACACAGGCCAGATCCCCAGACAGAATGAATTTGTTTTGAGAAACAAACAAAATTGACAAATTTGAGCTTTGCAGTTGGAGGACACCAAGAGAGACCATTTGCTTTATTTAGTTAAATAAGTTATGGAGTTCTCAAAGTGTGTTCTCATGTCAATATTTGCCTGGGGCTTGGGGGGTGTTTAATTGAGTTGTGTTCCTTCTTTCTTACCAGTAGGTTCCATGAGATTGGAAAGAAGCTCCAAAAATCATGAAACCCAGTTACTGTTCCTAGTTTCAGATTTCACATACTAGCACAACTTCAGAAAAAAGGTTATGAGCCAAATAGATCTGCCAGCTTATTTGGCAAAACAATGACATTGGGAGAAAATGTATCCCAAAAGACACCAACCACCTATGCTCACCAACACTATTAAAAAAAAAGAGAGAGAGAGAGAGAAGGAAAGAATCATTTTTATCATCACTGAAGAAGTAAAAAAATATAATCAGAATGAAGGGAAGTCCTTTAACTGGTCAAAATACATTTTGCTCACTGAGGAGCCAGTGAGTTTATTTGCAGTTTCCTATGGATCAGCACCAGCCCACACACCACTGATGCAAACGCTCTGCTCTAGCTTCTGTGTTTCTCTGGCAAAGCTCATGTAAGCCAAAGACACAGAGGCGAGAGAATTGACTCAAGGCAAGGGAAGAGGGGGATGTTGCTATCTATCTGGATATGTTTTTATGTGTGGGCCTCTAGTCTTGGTAGTCTTTTCCATTCTCTTGGTCCCTAGCTAGAGAACCACAATGCCATTGTCTTTTGTCTCCATTCTAGGGCTTTCCAATTTGGCTTCACCTGGTGATTCTAGCTGCCCTGTTTGAAGGACTAGAGATCATAACTCAGGGTAGCAATTATTAGAAAAGTTATATTAAGAGCAAATTACAAAGATGATTACTGAACAAATATGTTTATAACTGTTATGCAATTAAGGACTGATAAAGTAATTTCCATGTTTCAAGACTAGTTAACTTTGCTGATTGCCCAATTAGGGCACGTAGAGAGAAGAGGGAAGGCACGAGTTTCAGATCAGTAGAATGTATCTGTAGGGTTAGGTGCCTGGAAATGATAGGTGAACATTCTAAGGATTGATAGAGAGTATTCATCCAGCTTCTCAGTAAGCCTACAGAAGGGCGGGTGACTTTGGATGTTTTTGCTGCAACAAAACCAGAAACCACCTTGCCAGTTTGATAACACTTTCTTATTTTTCCCCATGGTGGTGATGCATGTTGACATATCAGTAAACCAGAGGGATCTTACCAGACTACATTTCTAAGCACTTATTGATAAAGATTCTCCCTCCAAGATGAAACATATTCTAACTCTGTCATATATAAGCTCTAGGAGATTGCAATGGCTCATGATGTGTAAGGCAAGCAGAAAAACTCACTCAATGTTACTGAACCCATAAGAGAGCCCTGTGGATTGAACTCTTACAGATATTCCATCCATACCACCACTTTACAAATGCTAGAGCTGGCCATGCTAAGAAATTTATGGTAACAAAGGGCAGTTTATTCAGGGAGATAGTCAACTATTTAAGTGGCTTCATAATTATAAAATCTTTTGAAAACTGATATTAAATTGGTATCATAAGCCTTCCTCTGTAGGTTTTGAATTTGATTAGATATTCAATACCTGATACCTCTCCCCCCCGAAGTAAAATTTGGTGCAAAGTATATTGGACGGGGAGTCCTGATGTCTTGATAAGAAGAAACATGAGGGCAGCCTGGGTGGCTCAGCAGTTCAGTGCCTGCCTTCAGCCCAGGGTGTGATCCTGGAGACCCGATCCCCACGTCAGGCTCCCTGCATGGAGCCTGCTTCTCCCTCTGCCTGTGTCTGTGCCTCTCTCTCTCTCTCTCTCTCTGTATCTTTCATGAATAAATAAATAAAATCTTGAAGAAGAAAGAAGAAGAAGAAGAAGAAGAAGAAGAAGAAGAAGAAGAAAAGAAAGAAAGAAAGAAAGAAAGAAAGAAAGAAAGAAAGAAAGAAAGAAAGAAAGAAAGAAGAAACATGAAACTTAGAGCTGGCATTCAGGAGATTTGCCCTAAAATGCCATTGCCTTGGTAGGTAAATTGCTTATAAATGCAATATGATTAAAAGATAAAGTTCTTAAAAAATAACTATAATTACCATAATTTGTTAATATATAGACAATGTAAAAAGTTACAGATTGTGACATCAGAAATACAAATGTCATGGCGGGATGATTAAAAAGGTATGCATTCAAATTTTAGTTATAGCGACGCCTGGGTGGCTCAGTGGTTGAGCATCTCCTTGGGCTCAGGTTGTGATCCTGGGGTCCTGGGATCAAATTCCACATTGGGCTCCCTGCAGGGAGCCTGCTTCTCCCTAAGTCATAGAGCCTATGTCTCTGCCTCTCTGTGTCTCTCATGAGTAAATAAATAAAATAAAAAAACCCTTAAGTTATATACTTAAAATAGTTTGTTATAAATATAAGATGCTTTATTTAAGCGTCATGGTAACCACAAAGGAAAAATATGTATTATATACACAAGAAGGTAAAGAGAAAAGAATACAAGCATGCTACTAATACAGAAAAGCATTACATCACAGAGGGAGTAAGGGAATTGGAAGGAAGCAAAGGGATTGTCAAATGGGGAGAAAACAATGAACAAAAGGACAATAATAAGTCTATAAGTATCCAAAATTGCTTCATATATAAATGAGCTAAATTCTCCAATCAAAAAACATAGAATGGTTGAATGCATATAAAAGAACACATGCTGCCT